GTCTGTCAATGACACTTAACCCTACTTTTTTATACTAATGGTGGTAATGCACTAAATAATTTTTATTTAATTAAATAATGTACCAAGGAACATAGAATAATAACATGCAGAAAACAGACAATTTCCACTAACTATCACAATTTTTTCTTGATATGTGACAAGAGCTGTTACAAGATTATCCAAGTTAGTCGTTATCTTTTCAGTGTGAATAAAGCCAGTACTAAGAGAGAAAATGACAGTTCTCTGTTAAGAAAAAAATGTAATATAACAAATCATTTGATAGATGAAAACCTTGGCTATCTATTGGTTATACATAATATAGTATTAAGAGTAAGAGAGAACTATTAACAAATCCTGAAAGAGAAGATGTGATAGGTGGGCGTGGCAGGAGGAGTATGATTTTCTATTTGATGGCTCTGTAACTAAACAAGATTGAAGCCTATAAACATTATGGTTTGTCTGAGCAATGACGATTTTTATAGTGAGTATTTTATGTTAAATTTCATACTTATTGGAGGGGTGGTGAATAAAATAGAGAAGATGGGATGCCTAGAGAAAATATGTCACATTTCTCACACCAGGGGAATTCAGGATTTTTTAAAATATTGCCTATCAAAATTAAGAATTTAAAACTTATATAATATTAAAACATGAATTACTAGCTACAATTTTATGCCATAATAATTGGTATAACATAAACAAAAAATAGTTGAATTAAATTTTGAATATAAGTTACTAAAACCTCGTGGCATGAGCAATAAAGGATGCCCGTGGCAATATGGTTAAATATTGACTTATAAAATTAAGAACTTAAAAACATATAATATTAAAATTTGGATTTTTAGCTACGTTTGTCTCCAAGTTGATTTGTATACTATAACAATAAAGTAGTTTTTAAAATTAAATGTTGACACGCTGAGAAAATGACGCCCGTATGGAAAGAGTTAATCACATTTCTATATAACAAAAAAAAAACTTAATTTACCCTAAAGTTTTCCATGCTAACAGCAAGTGAGCTCAATACTTCAGCATCAATCTGTTCATCTTCAAGGTCGATAAGGTCCATCTTCTCTCTGATCTGTTGAAGAGCAGCTTCAGAACACAGAGCAGCAAGATCTGAGCCAACAAATCCATGAGTCTCAGCTGCAATCTTTGATAAACAGGATAATTGAAAAGTAAGTTATATTAACTTAGGTTACAATGTTTTGATTCACTTTTCAAAACACTTTGTTTCATAGAACACTTTATTAGCAGAAAACTGAATAAAGTACTACTGCAGAAATCATGACACAACATAAGACTTTGTCATTATTTGAAAAATTAAATAGCAATTTAGTTTAAACAAAGAAATTTAACTTCATTATTATTAAAACCTCAAGACTCGATTTGTTGGAGCATCAAATATTTGGGTGCAGAGAGTGTTACACATCATTTGTTAATTCAAAATAACATTTCACAGATTCATGAAGAAAGTCCCTGAATTCTTTGAGTTTAGCAAAAAGGGAGATGTAACTCTAACTTCAAGCACCTAATCATTAGTAGCACATTTTCAGTTGCTATAATTTTTGTGATGATCGCCTAAACCTTTGTTTCAAGAATTGAACTCACAATTTAAATTATGCACTGTTTTGTTACCTACCTTTTCAAGGTCCACATCATCATCGAGCTTCATATTTTTTGTGTGAATACGCAAAATTTCTAATCTTCCGGTTGTATCTGGAATGCCAATATCTACTTCACGGTCAAAACGCCCTAGAGAAATACAAAATTAACTATCTTAACCGTTGCAATAGCATACAAGTGAAATGGAAATTTTACACAACAAAACAAAGCCAAAACATTATTTTACTAGTGTTCATACTTATAATAATGTAAGTTGGTAAGCAAAATCTGTTAAAGAAAAAGCATTTTAAAGAAATACTTATGCATAGTTAGGAAAAGTGAAAACATTCTATTGTTGATAAAAATAGTGTGTTTAAGTAATATGGACCAGCAGTGTTACCAAATAACTCAATTAAAACTGAAGCACACTACTAATAATACAAAATAATCAACATACTGTCAAGCTAATCTGATGAGCCTGCTATTGGACAGAAGACCTCATCGGAACTTGATATGGTAGCTGTAGTGTGACTAACACAGTATAACATATGCTACTTTGCTTTCACTCATATGTTCTTAGAATTACTAATACAGTTTTCTCCTGTTGCTACTGTGGTTGCTTTACTTCGCTCCAGGAACAATAAGACTAGCTTATTAAGTAATAAATAAATAATCTTGTGTTATTAATTCTTACCCTAGAAATCTGATTAGTAAATGACTAAATCTTGATAATAATTACATTTAACTTACTTAAACTTCATACCATAACAGTCATTGTTCATGAAAGTTAATGATGTAAATAGTGCCAAGATGACAGCAATGTCTGTCGTTTCTCAGCCGGCCTGATGTGCCTTGGTATTAGGTGAAAGGCCTCATCAGTACTGGATATGGCAAATGTACTATGGTTGACATATTAGAAAATATTTTTCTTTGTTTTTTCTCTTAAATTTTTACAAACACTGAAGAAAAAATCATCATTACACAACTACTGCTGAGAATATAGTCATCATAATACTAATGGTAAAACACACTCAGTATAATTCTCTTTATAACACTTACCACAACATTGGTGATGATGAAAACACTATCAAAATAATTCTACTGATTACAGTTACCATAACACCATCATTCTTCTGATAATTGTTACCACAACATTACTACAGATAAAGAACACACAGTCACCATCATTCTATTGATAACAATCACCATAACATTACTGCCGATGAAAGCAGAGTCACCAAAGTATCACCATAATACTACTGATAGCAAAAGAACCATCATCTATTCCCAACACAAAGTCAGCAGAAAATTACTACTATTAATTAGTAATATAAAATCATCAAAATATAACAGATTACACACAGATGTCAATTAGGAACATACCACTGATAACACACAGTCTCTTGCAAATTAAAAATATACCAATTTATAGAATATTACCATTAATTAATTCCCATAAGAATACTGCTGATTACAACCATCATCTTATAAGAGATACCAGTTTCCCAAGCATACTAGTAATAAGGTACTGTTACAAGAATACTATTGCTTAAACACTATCACCATTAGAATACTGACACCCCAGTTTTACCAGTAAATTATAACATAAAGTTATAAACATTTCATTCAAATTGAAATTTAGAAAACATACCAAACCGACGAAGTGCTGCATCAATACTGTTTGGTCTGTTAGTGGCTGCCATTACAATGACATGAGATCGCTGTTTCAGTCCATCCATAAGAGTAAGCAGTTGTGATACAATTCTTCTTTCCACTTCTCCATGTGTCTAAAACAAATATAGGAACAACTTTTGACGTATACTAAGAAGACTTATCTAAGTTTTATATATTTCTGTCTAAGGGTAACTATCAAAAAATCAATAAAACAATATCTAAAATATATTAACAAAGTTATAAATGTTTCTTGATAAGTGCTATAAATAACTGAATACACTAACCTTTCCATATCAGCACATGTAATGAAATTAAAAAGATAATAAATATGTATAAACCAGTAATCTAAAAATCAACCTCTTTTTTTTAAAGGTTAAAATGGCTATTTTTTCAAATACATAACACTTGGCACATAAAATAGCAACTATTTCTAATGGGGAAAAAAATAAAATTGCAAAATTCTTATGACAATACAAAGAGAATTTGATCATTGAACTATTAGCAATTCTTTAGACTCTAAGTAATCATGCTAAAATATTTTTAAAAATTGCACCAACAAGTAAAAGTAAGAACATCAGATAATCATAAGTAGTGAAAAGTTAACATATTTGTTAATTCAAATATCTAATATTCAGTCTTCTTTACAAACCTTTTCTCTTTTTGGTGCTATTGCATCTAACTCATCAATGAAGATTATGGAAGGTGAATTTTTTTCGGCTTCTTCAAAAGCTTTTCGAAGGTTGCTCTCAGACTCTCCAGCCAGTTTGCTCATTATCTCTGGACCTGGAACAAAATATATATATCTTTTATTTAAACCTCATTCTTATGAAAGCAACTCTATAAAATGTTGTGACGTGCTAAATAGCAGAGACATCTATATAGGATTAAAGAAATATTTCAAATTATAAGGAATTTCAGACTGTACTGTCCTCTTGTTTTTAATGAAATACTTGGGGATTTGTCATTGGTGTAAGTTATACTACCCACATCGTTTTAATACAGGACTTCATCAAGCAGGAAAATGTTCTGAAATGAAAAGCAATTTTTATAATTACATCTTATCAACTCAGAAATATACAATTCATCAAGATAATTGATATTACTTTATAATAATGTTTCTTTGTCTTGTTATATCTATAATATCTAATTCTGATTAATCTTTAATTGAGTAGTGCACTACAAGGATGCAAACCTCTCAAAGTTAACATTTTCCTAAACTGAAAATGTATTTCTGAATAAATACTTACCTCCATTATTACTATCCTCTGTCAGTGCAAATTTTTCATTTGCCACTAGCCTTGTAACTTCCACTTCTTTTTGCATATCTGCATGCAAATGATCATGTAGCAACCCTTCATCAATAGAAGTTTGAAACTACCCCTATTGTAACTAGTGGCCTTTCTAATAATGCACCTGTTAACCACTGCAAGATTGGCCATGACCAAACCAACCAGTACACCAGAAGTGGAGAGGAACAGTGAGAGAAGGTAAGTATCTATTTGGAAATACATTTTCAGTTTACAAAAATGTTAACTTCTAATATGATATCTTACCTCCTCTCACAAAAAGCTAGAGTCCCAAACTGAACTGGCAGAGAGAAAATGAGAAGATGATTCTCCTTGAGAAAGCACCCAAATAAACCCCATTAGGTGTGATAAAGAATGAAAAACATCACATCAGTGGGAGACAGCACCACTTCTGAGCCAGGTATACTCCTTGCTCTACAGGAATGTGTCACCAAAACAGAAAGGGTGGAAACATGGAGGGTCACTAAAATGTGATCAGCAGTAAAGGGAACTCTAGGTGTCGAGTGGCTAGGGAGCAACAGACCATAAGTGGAAGTTCGTTTTAAACCAACACCTGACAGCATCTAGAATTGTACATCAGGTCCATGGTAGGAAGAGGGTCTTCTACCTTTCACCTTAAAGGTACTGGACAGGATATGGGCATCTGTATCAAGGATCTGATTCCACATGTACACACCTCCAATACAACCAACACAGGATCCACCGGGAATCAACATCCAGCAGATGGTAGAAAGTAAGGAGAGTTCAGGAGGCATTCATCTCTTGTCCCAAACCTGGCAGCAGTGGGAATGTTATGTCCAGTCCGCAGTTGGAATAGGGAAGCCAGCCTTACACATGCAGGTAATCATATGTTTTGTCCAACTTAAAATGACACCAGATCTACCAGGAAATTGACATCTACCAGATGGTAGAAAGATGAAAAGGGACAACAGTTTGGGGTAACATCTCCAGTCCAAGCCCTGGACTATGGTAGGAGGAGGGAATCAGCCAAACACATGTGAGGACTTATGTGGCTGGACTGTCTCCAACACCTGACCCAACCAAGAACCAACATCCGGAGGATGGTAAAAAGGAGGAATATCTCAGTCATAGGGACAAATTGCATCTGAAATTGTACATCAGATCTGTGGTAGGAAGGGCATCACGCCATTGACACCAGCAGAATGCCACCACCCTACTCTCAACTGAGTGGTATTGTGCTTCACTCCATGGTCCATTACCCCAGCAGCTAGGAACTGGTAAGTGGCAAGAACTCCCATACTCCACTAGAAGAAAGAGGGAAAAATGCATTGGAGAGTCTGGAGGACTTACCAGTCACAAAGAAACAGAAGTGTGTAACATGGCAACTGGAGGTAAACATAATCCCATAAAGCATTAAACAACCAAGTGATGTAGGTAGTGAGACATAAAGGTATGCAGGGTACCCATGCAGATGATGTCCTCCATAGGAAGATGGAAATTCGCAGCCAGGGACATGGTCAGGCAACGAATCTGATGGGAAAACTCACGAAAACGGTGACAATCAGCCAGAGAATGGGAAGAATACACCATGTGAATTACCTGAAAAATCCAACCCGTAAGGGTAATGGGAGAAAAATCATGTGAAATGGCAGGATTCCAATGAATAAAAATATGGACACAGGAATCCTGGAATTGGGCAGTGTGTGTCATATACCATCTGAGGGTCCTTACTGGGCACAGAAGGTGATCAGGACCTAAATGGCCATAAAGATGGGATATGGAGAGGAGGGAAATGGGAGTGAAAGTGGAATTACCCCACACAGGCAGCCAAAGTCTTGGGTAGAAAGAAATGACCTGGAAAAGGAGAACATAGGAACAAAATCTGGTGAATGTCAATTGCAAAAACATTGGAATGATGGAAACCACATGCCAACAATGATAGGAACAAAGACTTCAATGAAGGACAATATATAGAGCAAGACAATAAAGATTGTGACAGAGGATGTGTAAGAGCATGAAGGACAAAACTGAGGTTCCAATCGAGGAGAGAAGAAGGGTGGGGAGGACAAGCAAAGGAGAATGAACAAAATAACCTAGATAGGACAGGAGAATGGAACACAGACACAAATTTCGTAAATCAAAAAGTGGAAGACAAAGCCACCTTGTAAGCTACAACAGAGGAAACTGAGAGGCTCCTGCCATAAAGCCAAATGAGGAACGGTTGGTCAAAAATGATGGAAAACCTGGTGTAGAGACCAAAAAACAGTAAGTAGTCCATTTATGATGGTAAATCGCTAAGGAGTATGGTCAAACAGGACAGGAAATGAAGGAGGTAGCACACCTGGAAAATTCAGAACCTAACAAGGAGTTTTCTGAACTATCTGAATGACACGAGGAAGAAGTCAAACAGGAGGATAAGCATATTGGTAACAATTGGTCCAATTCTGGCTGAGATCATCCATTGCATCTGCCTGTAGATGAGGAACAGGTGATCAAAAATGGAGAAGTTTTGTGTTGAGAGGAGAAGCAAATGTGTCCAAATCAAGAATATCCCAATGAGCACACAATTCCTGAAAAACAACAGGATCCAAAGATCGGCGGGATCTTATTAGGTCTGGATAACTGATCCATGACCTGATTCACGGCAGCCAGAATATGACACACCAGCAAAGTAATGTGATGGCTGTGGGCCCAATAAAGAAGATCCAATGTCCAAAAAGAAAGGTCTCTTGATTAAGTGCCTTCTCGCTTGGAGACATAGGACACCACCACTGAATTGTCCAAATGCACCATCACCACTTGTCCCAAAAGAGACAGTGGGAAGTGAAGAACAGCTTGCTAAACAGCACAAAGCTCCAAGATATTGACATGGAGAGCAGATTCTATAAGAGTTCAATATCTCAAAACTTCCTGACCATCGAAATATGCTCCCCAACTGGAAGAGGAAGCTTCAGTAAAATAGTGACAAATTGGAGGAAGCAATGAAAAATTAATAACCCCCATGATAGTATTGGTCCAATCTATGCAGTAATGGAGAGGGAAGGGAAAGAGGAGCCTTCAAGGGATCTCAACCAAAGTTCCATTGGTTGCTTAAAGCCCACTGAAGATCATGCATGGGGGCATGACCCAGAGCAGAAGGAGAAGGTAAGGAGGAGAACTTGAAAATGAGACATTTCATATCTCACAATCTAAGATGAAAAGACTGTACCCAACTGTGAAGGAGATTGAAAACACACCAAGATGAACCAGAAACTGGGTAGATATGAGGAGTGACTTTTCCACCATGATAAGCAAATTGATGCTGGCAGCTTCCAGAAGAAGAAGAAACTGAGTATGGAGACCAGAATTGGCCTGAGAGGATGCCAGCAGTAGGCAGTCTTCCATGTAATGGTGGAAATGAAGGCCCCAGGAATGAAGCAGTCGAGTGAATGACTGGACAACTCAGCAAAACACATAGGGAGCCAAGGCTAGGCCAAATGGAAGCACTCAAAACTAAAAACACACCTGTAATGAGCAAAGCAAAGGAAAAATCAGTATATCAAGAACATAGAAATATGAAGACAAGCATTGACACATCGACCTTCGTCATCCGAAGACCTAGATTGAAAACCCAAAGGAGATTTAACCACAACTCCATGGTGACATTGGAAATGACAAGGAAGGGATTCAGAGACAATAAATCAATAACTGGGCACCAGTTTCCAGTCTTTTTGAGAACAACAAACAGATGAGAATAAAACCCTGAACAAGAAAGATCTCCTTCTTTAATGGCATCTTTGTGAAGTAAATCCTGAACTGCTTCAGACAAATGCTGACATGAAATGGGATCCCACAGAGGAGGAAGGAAATGGGATGGGGAAATAACAGTGGGGACTATAGAAAACAAAGGGCCAAACCTTTGGAAATAACCTTCAAACCCATGGATCAACTGTAAAGAAACCTCCAAATGTAGGCAAAGCGTAAAAGTCTGGCCACAGACATGCATGCCATAGTAGCAAGTAGAAGACTAAGATTCATCAGAAAGTTCTTCATGAGAACAACGAATAGCTTTTGCAAAAAGATGAAGGGAGGATAAGGCACGGAGAACAGTAGACATGATAAGATGAAGACAGGAAAACAGATGTTGCGAAGCGGAAACTAAAGTATTAGGGTCCAAACCTCACATAGGAATAAAGGTTTCCAAACACTGTGAGTCTAAATAGGGGTAGCTGGCACAATGAAAAGCAAGAGTATGATTGTCTGGTGTATGTGGAAGATGAAGCATACTGACCCCCACTCTCAACTGTTCCCCAAAACAACTAGCATGAATTGCAATATAGGTTAAGGTGGAAAAACCAGATATTGACCCAAACAGTCGTCCCCAAGGAAGGTAGGGGTAGAATCATAAGAAACAATAGACAAAGACAAAATTGAGCATACCTGATTAATCACATCAACAAAGGGAGGAGGAGGCCTGGGCAAGTCCCCCAATATGACACACGAAGCATATTCAGGAGGGGGGAAAAGGCTGTCCAAATACTCATCCTCCCTGTCACACCAGGCACTGGTATGACAAGATACTCTTCAGGTGGTGGTGGTGAATGTTGCATGAAATAGACAATTCTCTACAGATCATAGTAGTCATGTCATCAGCCAATAACTTTGGGACCAATCTTGAAAACATGGTTGGTAATCCCACTAGAGCAGGGAACAGTAGTGGTAGTAGTAACTACTTGAAACTGTGGGTGCATACTTACAAAGCAGAAACTCAAACTAAAGAAATAAAAGGTATCTAGAAAAAAAAATTCAAACATTCCAAAATTCACATGCAAAAACAAACATTTTAATAGTAAGAGTGGCAATCAAGAAGTGATTAACAGGCACATTATTAGAGGTCACATTTACAATAGGGGTAGTGATGTTGCATGATTATGTGCATGTAGATATGCAGAAAGAAGTGGGAATTACAAGGCTAGTGTATTATACTTTTTAAAATCAATTTACTATCTAAACTATATCAGTTGGAAATCATCTTCAACATTAATAAAAAAATTTTTGCACCTTATTTCCATTTCAAATGCAAGACATACAAAACATTTCCTGAAGTAAGTATAATCAGCCTTAATAAAATTAATTTTTTTCACTACATAAGTATTTAATATTCACCCACCATTAATAAGAAAGAAGAAGGCTCCTGTTTCATTGGCAACTGCCCTGGCTATCAACGTTTTCCCAGTACCAGGTGGTCCGTACAACAAAATTCCTCGAGGTGGCTTGATATTATAAAAATTTAAACATTGTAAGTTTTTTTATCCATAAGGGTTGAAACTGTAACTATTTTAAAGTAAAAGTTATCGGAAAATATTTCTGTAAGAAAGTTAAATGTTGAAATTGTATTAATCATTAACATAAATAAGTTAATTTCCAGTATTTTTTAAAACTTTCAAACTAAAGTACATATTTTAAATAATATCCAAAAATGGTAAGGTAATATTCTTTTATAAAGAGTTTAAAACATACCTTAACACCAATGGCCTTAAACAAACTAGGATGACGAAGTGGCAATTCAACCATCTCTTTGATTTGTGCTAACTGCTTACGACAACCTCCAACATCATCATAACCCACAGCATTCAAAGATTCCTCTTCTTCCTAAACAAAACAAGGATGGAATGTGCAGGGAATAATGCAAAATGTACTTCAAACTATCCAAGCACTCTTAACAGTTATCATACAACACACACAATAGTAATTAATTCTTCTCATCCATATTCTTTTCAGCAAGTAAAAGGACATATATATATAGTAAAGTACAAATGATCTTAAAAACAAGAGATGGATGTCAACATAAGCCTAAAACCTATCAAATATGGAACAAAATAGTAGATATTTCAGATTGCTTATAACATGTTATATACTTACTCTGTCATAATTCCCAAGGTGGTTGTCATTAGCACGTGTGAACATTTAAGTTAATAAAAGCATATTTTCTGGATTGACCACTACCAAAATAGTTACAGAAAAATTTAATAACATGTATTAGCTGATATGGCCATAGATGGAGGCACTTACTCATGTCCTAATATTACATTATGACTTTTTAAATATGAGTATTGCTCTGTTTAATATATATCAAAAACAAATTTTATTATCTTCCCAGCATTGAAAGAATATAGAACACTGCAACTTAGTCAAATACACCATGGGCAAAACTCAAGTCAGCAGAAATCAGGTTGTGATCAAGTACCCACTGTCCAGATATGTTTTGGTGATGCAAAAACCTGGGTTCCATACAACAGCAGAAAAAGAGGCATAGCAACCGACTATCCTTTCACCTGGTTGTCAATGGAAATAATGGGTAATCAAGTGATGTTGTGTCATGGGACATCCACAGAGAGGAAAAACCTTCAATTCCACATGCTGTGATTGAAGTTTTACTCATAGGAGATTATTGACATACTTTTTACAGAATAAGATTTGACTTCCAATGTCCTTAAATATATGACTTTGCTGAATGAGATGGCAAATGCCAATAGTTAATTCACTAAGTTAGTTATTAGAAAGTATGAGGAAGTCTGACAGTGAAGAACAAATTTTATGTAGTCACACAGTATGTTGTTAGGTAATTTTGTCTTGCTCAGCTCTTCATCAGATTACTTGAATCTAGTAAGGGTGATAGCATATTTTGTGCAAGTCTTTTCTCTTTTTCTTGTAAGAGGCATTATAAATACTAATATCAGGGAGTGGATGTGTACCAATCATAATGCATCAGGAAATAAAACTACCCAATTGGTTAACAATGATTTACAATGAAGCTACTAAATAACTTCTTCTCTTGACCTTGTTGCCAACAAGAACTAATGTTGTTAGAACATTTATTAATTTATTGTGTTTAGACGTCACCTCTTTCTTTCAAACCAAGATTTCAAGGAGGTAGGTTGTGTCTTTAGTCTGCTCAAAA